AGACTGCGTGCCCCTCACCAAGCCCTAATCGTTGTCGAGCTACGTCGGAGCAGTGTTTCCCACAGAACCGCCTTTCTCTGCAGCTTGCCCTTGATGCATATCAGCGTTGCCTTGATCTTCCAGGGCGTGGGGTGAATGTCAGCACCTCCGAGAAACGCCTTGCGTTTACAAGCATTCGAGCTCCCCGAGCCGTCCAAACACCGCAGCGCTACTCCGGTAGATCCCAGACCTACCGTCTGAAGGAAACCTCCTGTACAGTCCCAACAACATCCCGTGCAGTGCAGTTATCACATCACGACGCGAGCCACGAATATGCCTCTGCTGTGGACCCTTACAATGTCCGATTTCAGGACTTCACGATAAACAAACGGAGTATTGGACACGTTCACAAGCCTGCCAAGCCATCCCACTGAATTGCCAATGCTGCTAAAGTTTTTTGCTTCGCATTTAAGCATCGACCAATGCAATGTACTTAATACTCTGGCAGAGGAGTCGGACAGGCGAACGTCATGGATGCAGAGAGATGAGTGTTAGATCTTCGAAATCATCATAACACGCTCCTGGTAGACGAATGCCAAGTGCGCGCTTATGCTACGTGCGTACAACCTGCATGGCTCCGTCAGTAGTGAGACGTTTTCTTCCCCGCTGAGCTGCACCTACTTTTCACAGCAGCTCCAATGACCCCACCGAAGCAACGGAATTTCACTCTCTATTCACGACTGCACAATTCTTGCTTGCTTCCCTTGCTGGTTTCCGTAAAGACTTAGCTAATGTGTCAAATATTCCTACAGCGCAGCCGAGACGCCAAGCCCGTTCCCTCTCCTCTTGCACTTCCCTGCAAGATCTGATATACTGCATTGAACATCTTCACTAGGCGCTCAAAAGTAGCGACGCATCCACGCAGCGCACAGCTACTACTTGATCCACTTTACTTTCCAGAACGCGAAGTACGTTCTGCCGTCCTGCCCCACAGCCATGTGAAGAAGTATGCTCCCTACAAGCACTAGGACATAATCGCCTGTAAGGTTCGATTGCACAATATGAAAGCGAATGGAGTTT